TATATATATATATATATATGTATATATGTGTGTGTGTATATGTGTTTGTATGTATGTATGTATATATATATATATATATATATATATATATATAATACTCTGTATTAAATAAAATGGGGAAATCAGTTTATTTTTTAGCTATTAATTTATTGTGAACTACTTAATAGGCCTTTGATCATTGATTGTACAAGAGCTGTCCAAAACAAAAACATGATTATTATATAAAAAAATCCCTGTAGATGTGTTTTTAGCCTGAGGGAGTTTTTCTCTGAAGGTGTTGCGGTCAACAGAGACTCCATTTTTAGTCATGCAGTGAATATTTTGACTCCAGCCTTGCTCCAACTCTCTCTCTCTCTCTTTGTGTGTGTGTGTGTGTGTGTTTATGAGTGTGTGATGAGTGTGTGATGAGCCAGAGAAAGAGCCCGATAGAGGAGTCTGAGTACACACAGACGGACAGAAACTCATAGGAAAAAAATGACAATGAAACGGCAACAGACAGACAGAGAGGATAGACTGTTTGCTAGTGTTCTGCTAATGGCTGCTCTGTTAGCAGTAAAGCCTGTAGGGTAAGTATGCATGAGTGTGTGTGTGTGTGTGTGTGTGTGTGTGTGTTGGTCTCCTCTGAGCTCCTCTGGCTGGGTAATCCCATTCAGCACATGCTAATGTGAAACCAGATTCTAATGACCTTCTGCCATGGCTTTTCAACCCAGGCCTGGAGCAATCTCACAGCAACATCTCATAGATGCTCTCTCCAAGAACGCCCCCACAGTAGCACACAAGCATCCCAGTGAACAAACCATCTTACCATAAAATCTCTCTTATCCACACCATCACCGCAGAGCGGCTCAGACGTTATGGTTTTGAGTGAATTATTATTGTAATTTTACAGTACAATCACAGTTTCTGGCAGCATCCCAATTTGCATAGTATCAGTTCTATATAGTGTACAACAGTCATGCCAGCAGAGCTTGTTTGAATTTGAATCTAGTGTTAAAGATTAGGAGTAGTGCATACTTGCAGTTTCAACTTTTTTTTAGATAGCTTTTTATCTAATTATGTTGTATATAGATTAATGTTCAAAGGTTTGGGGTCTGCAAGATTTTTTTTTTTTTAAGAAGTCTCCTATTTATTTGATCAAAAATATAGTAAAAAAGAAACATATTGTGACATATTATTACAATTTAAAATAGCAAATATAATTTTCTATTTGAATGTATTTTAAAATCGAATTTATTTCTGTGATGTGTGTGTGTGTGTATGCGTGTATATATCTATATATATATATATATACATTTTCACAAATAGTTCTGAAAAACAGAGTTTTATATTTTATTATTATATTAACAACAAATTAAAATATTTTATTATATAGGCATATGCATTTATTAAATACAATGTTCTTTGAATACATTTATTATATAGCCTACAATTATTTATTTATAAGTTACTTTTATCCAGAGTGATAGTTATATATATATATATATATATATATATATATATATAGTATGCAACAATGTGTTTTAATGTTTATTCCAGTGCAATACTTTGTTGTTTTATTGTTTTATGGTAGGGATGTGTATTGTTTACATTTTATTGATACCGATACAATACTGGTAAAGGTAAAGGTCATAAATATGTAGATTTTTGCCCTATAACCCCTTTTTACTCTGGATGCAAACACCTTTACTGACATTATGGTGGTTTAATCAATATCTTGTATGTCCATTTACATTTTGAATCTTATAATGAGCTGATTTTTGAAAGTTTTCTGTTTGTTGCACATTTAAATGTACTTAAACCCCCGAATATTCCTTTAACTGTTTATTATTGTAATTTCACCCCACTGTCACAGTCCATGTCAAAGCTTAGCGCATCCAGAACAGTTGGTGCATTTACCAGCTCCCATGAAGGCCAGTCAGTTAACACTCTGTGCGGTTCTTTCATTGTTGTTTCAAGATGGCTTCACTGTCATCTGCTGGATTATTAATCAGAGCGCGACTGTAGAAAGCGCTTAGTGTCCTCCAGTCTCTTCATGTCCTCGGGATCATAAGCATGTCTTTCAGCGAGTGTCCGCAGTGAGAAAACGGTCAGTTCTGAGGGAAGACAAAGACAGCGAGTGAGGCCGTAGGGTGGTTTGGATCCAGCAGACAACGGAGGCCTGTGTTCACTAGAGCACATGGATATTGATCTGCTCCCTGCCGTCTCACCGCCCATCTGTTTGGGTGAAGACTGCGATACCTCCATACTACAACTCCCGCCTGCCGTCTCCATGGAGACTAATCCATTTATCCCACTGAATTACAGTATCGGACGACTTTTTTCTGCTTGGTGGCCATTTTGTGATTGTCAATGGTTTTTAACTTTTGACTTTTATTGATTAGTCCATGGTCACATACATTTAGAAATGCTTTTATCAAAAGTGACTTCAAGAGAGGAGCAGTACAAGAATGTATATGTGTGTTAACCATAAGCATACAAGAGATCAAAAATCAGCTCACGAAAACATGCACAAGAAAAAATTGAGATTTTGAAATTGTGCTTTCTCTATCTCGCTCTCTTAAAATATCGTTCACAGGGGAGGAAATCATTATTTATTATTCTAGCTAATAAAATAAAATAAAACAATTAATAAAATGCTATTAACTCTTTCTGTAAATGGATTTTTGTTCATGTAAATTAAAAAATATTTACGATATGCAGGTAAAATAAACCAACAACAAATATATTTTTTTAAATGTACATTTTTTTTTATTATTTTTTATTTTTTATTTTTTTTTTTTTTTTTTTATTGATTTAATAAAAAAAAAAGTATTATTATTTTTTCATTCCTTTTCCTTTTCCAGACACTGAAGACTAGGGTAATTCAGCTTTGCCATTACAGGAATAAATTACACTTTAAAAAATATACAAACAGTTAAAATAAAAATAATAATATTTACTGTGTTTTTGATTTGAAAATACAGTAATTGTATTTACATATATTTACATTATATAGTAAATACAGTAATAAATACAATAAAGCTACAATTCATTAAAATGTATTCTGCATTATTTATTGTAATTATAAAAAATATTCATTATTAAATAAACTGTCCTGTAATTGTGACATTGCTAGATAACATATAATGTACATATATAAAATAATTTATTTAAAAAAGTCATTAAAAAAATTTTCTTTGAAAATGACATGCATAATGTTGTGTAATTTTTATAATATAAAATAGATTTTAGTTTGTGTGTGTGTATTTTTTTTATGAAAACCCATGCATTTATGGCAAAATAAATGGCATTTTATTTGATCCATTTCATTAGCTACAGAAAGAAATGAAAATGACATGCATTACAATATTTGCATTAACGGGCTAGACTGAAGCAGTAGCAGGCGTCGCTGCACTTGCACAGCACAGCTTCCATATAACTGCCTTTACTTCACCACAGCAATGAGAATCATGTTTCCTATT